GAATGATATTCGGTATGGTAAATTTTTTTTTTTTTTCAAATTTTTTTTTACAATTGGAACAAATTTTAGACCCAATGGTAGAAAAAATTATCACTTTAATGGACAAATTCCATAAAAAATGAAGTCAAATGGACACAAAACTTTCTACATTTTCCATAGAAAATTTTACCAATCAAACACAATTAATTACAATTCCCAGTAAAACATTTTCTAGGAAAATCAAGTCCCTATAAAACATTTTCTTTCCACCCATTTTCCAACTTTGCAATCAAACGGACCCTAATGTCATTAGGAATTCATAGAACGACCGCACACTTAGTATATGTATCTTTACACGTTATACCTTGTTACCGAATTTTATTACACGTTCTAAGTCTCGAACTCACCTCTTGATTCTTAAGAAACTCAATAGATCATTAAATTAGTGGCCAGATAATTTAAAGTATTGCATTCATAACAGAATCAACACATGGAAGAATAAAAACTAAAAAATTCTTGAATCCAACAACTAAGGGTCTCAATAAGTTACATTGTTTGCCCCCAATAAAAAATTTAGCTACTCTTAATCAAAACAAAGAAATAAATAACAAAATTCGAATACATCACCGGATTTAAATGATACAAAAGTTGAAAATGATTAACTCTTGCACCAAGATCTCTTTCCACTTTCAACCCCTTGATTTAGTTTGAATCCTTGATGTAATTCTTCGTGTGAAATCGTCTTCAAACTTGTATTTTTCTCTTTATTTTGCAAGGTGTAGAACCATTATTTCATGCCATTCTCAATCTATTTATAGTTTCTCACATTCATGGCCAAGTTGGAGTTTCATTCATGGGCTATTCGTAGCCCAAAAAAAACAAAACCTAAATTTTACGGCGCAGTGCCTAGGAGCGAGAAGGCAGCGCCTAGGCGCCGCAAAGTCTTCTCAGGCAGCGCTTAAGCGCTGCAATTCTGTTGATTTGCTGCTGGTGCAGTGTCTAGCAGCGCAAAGGCAACACCTAGGCTCTACATCTCTGGTCATTTTTCTTCTTCCATTGCTTCACATCCCCTTTTTCATTATTTTATATTCATTCAACCAAAACACTAGCAAACACATTAAATTCGTTCTATAATTAACAAATGAAGTTAGAATGGTACAAAACTCGTGTGTAAAGCGCACTCATCAACATTCTTCCTCAAGTAGAGATTCAATTTTCTTTGCAATAAAGACAAGCATCACAGGACATTCTTCCTCAAGTACAAATTCAAGTTTCTTTGCAATAAAGACAAGCATCAAATTACATTCCCAAGTCCACATGCATATCCCCTATAAGTTGTTTTTGTTTTAGAACAACGAAAAATGGAATGAGAGACATTTTGTTGCAAGTTTCTTTGCAATAAAGACAAGCATCAAATTACATTCCCAAGTCCACATAATTATTCCCAATTAGTTGTTTTTGTTTTAGAATGACCAAAAATAGAATGAGAGACGTTTTGTTGAAAAATAATCATGCATTGCAAGTTAAACTTGAGCACATAATAAGATTTTAGCATGTGATGCAAGAATGCACACATAGATCTATGAAACTACAATATCTAAGTAGGTTTGATTTCATTTGAGAGAAACTATCAAATATTTTAGAGAAATTTGGTCAGTAACACACGTGAATAGGTGTCAAAATGTGATATGTGAAGTTACATCGGAAAAACTACGGTGAACTTGACAATCCTAACTCTTTTGGTCATTGAATTACTTTCGAGGTGAAATCGTCAAACACTAGTTTATTGTTTTCATTAGATGGTCTAATTAATAAATTTCTTAATTCAAGTCGACAGTACTTGAGTTTTTTAACTAAGTAATTAATAATTATACAACATAATAATGCCCCAATTTGGTGGAAATTAAAATTTAGATTTTAATGCGAGTCGAAATTAACAATTAATTTTAACTACCATATTTCACGAGATTTATTGTTTTTCAGTCACATATTTCATCAATTTTTATCAAAGTTTACTAAAAGTTTAATTTAATTCCCAACAAACAGGGACAATATATTTCGCGGTAGCACGACTCATAAAACCCCATCCCATTTCCAAGCCAAAAGATCTCAATTAACATTTTTCATTTTTCTATGGTTGCTTGCTTGATTCACAAATAATTTACATGCATATACTGTATCATGACAAGCTACAGATTTTCCATGCATATGCATGTAGTTGATAATGTCATCTCATCATAAATCTGCAAGTAATTATGTATGTGACTAACGTGTAAAAGGGTGTGAAAAACGTTTTCATGCACAAATAATTATTGACCAATCTATTGAATGGCAAAATGAGGGTCTCCTAACATTCAATAAATCAAAACAATTAAAAATGAGAAATAAAAACCAAAAGATAAATCAAAAAGAAGTTTTGAAAAAGAAAAAAGCTAATTGTACAAAAAAAGGTTTGAAAAAATACTCATCTTCTCCGATCCACCCAAACCCTCCTGCCACCACAATTGCCACCAACAAGGGGATTTCTCCTATGTGTTTTGGTCGAAAACCGGGTGGAGAAATCCCCTCATGTACTAGTCGCTACCCAAAATGATATTTTGCAATAGTCCAAGAGGATAGGTGCTGTTTTAAATTGTTGTGGCGTAGGAGGATGATGGTGGTAGTCGTGGGTGGTGGCATGATTGGATTTGGGATGATGGTGGATGATCGTGGGTGGTGATAGAGTCGAAGGTAGGGGTTGTAATTGAGTCGAGCCACCCATGAGAAGTGGCTCATAAAAAAAAAAGTCTCCCGAGCTGCCCAACCTATATTTTTGACAAGTTGTTGTCGAAATTCCATTTTCATGTGGGCAGTCAAATCGGGCCCACCTTCAAAGGCTCGTGAAATTCTCGAGTTGGCTCAGGGGTTCGTTAGGCTCACCTGCAAGAGCAGGCATAAGCAAGCTTGTTTTAGGCCTACTTAGGCTTCAAAATTCGACAAAAGCAGCATGCAACGAACGTATGCATCATAGAATTCAGGCTGCAATCAGCCTGAATTCTGTGAATTTGAACGTTTTAAGACAACAAAATAGAAGTCCACGATTAATTTAATAATTATTTTAAAGAAAATCTCAATTTTCTTCTATGTCAATTCAAAAGATTTCTAACAATAAGAGAATCAACAAAGCAAATTTAGGCCCTGTTCCAGCTCCATTTTTGCGGGAAAATAGATTTTAGAATTGCGATTTTTCGGAGAATGTATATTTAAAAAATATATAAAATTTTTGAATTTATGGAAGAATGTGTAATAATCAAGCAAATTTAATTACTTTGCGATAAGATCACCCATTACACACCCTACAAGGAAAGAAAACAATGGACAATGACAACAAATAGTCCCAAGATCCAACTACTAGAATATTAATAATTTTCATGTAATTTTTCAACAAAGAGTCCGAATTCCCAAGCTCTATTCAGCTATAAATTTAGTTGATGGTGCAAAATGGGAGACCATATAGAAAGTACAATGGAAGAAGTAAAGCTGTACGGGTTCGGGCCTAGCCCGTTTAGTTACAGAGTGATATGGGCTTTGAACCTAAAAGGTGTGAAATATGAATACATTGAAGAAAACCTCCCTATCAAGAAGCCGCAACTTTTGCAACACAACCCGGTTCACAAGAAAGTTCCAGTGCTTGTTCATGGAGGCAAACCAATATCTGAATCTCTTGTAATTCTTGAGTACATTGAAGAAACTTGGCCCGAAAACCCTTTGTTGCCCAAAGATGCATATGAAAAAGCTATGGCCCGGTTTTGGATCCGATTTGCACAAGATAAGGCACCTCATTTTCATTTAAATTTCTATATTTACACTGTGGCTTGAGCCTCGTAGACCTAAATGACTTCTTTTGTGAAGTGCACTCCATACTAGATAAGATAATATTTTAGCGTGTTTTCTCGAGTTTTATTCAGTAGTATGTATTCATCAAGCACTAAAAGTCGGAATCCAAAAGATAGGTTGGTAGGAATCAAATATGTAAACAAAACTGTTTGACAATCAATTTATAAATGATTTAAAAATTCAATGCATTCCTAACTACTAATTTATTATTTACACATTTCATGGGACTACTATTATTTATATTTATAAATGACCTATAAATTTGTCAAATGGACGCTAAGTTTATAAATTCCTTAAGGACAAAGCTTCTCTAGTGTCCTTGTGTGAACCAATCTCCATATATCCAAGTCACAAATAATAAAAACTCGAGGGGTGAAGTTTTGCAACAAGTACAGGGAAGTTTCATAAATTTTTTTGTCCCATGTCAATTGTCAACACTGCATTGATATGTTTTAATCCATTTTTTCCATCATCCAATCCAAGGACGCCACCTCTCTCCATGTGAAACATCCCTGTAGTTATTTCTTTTTTCAACTTACATGGCTTCTACATGACTATAAGTAAGGTGGGTGGGATGATGTGGAGTTGGGGCGAGGGATGGTGGTCGCAATATGAGGTGGCAGCAGGTGGGTTGAGTAGTAGAAATAGTGATGACAAGTAATTGATGAACTGTATTTTTATGCTTAAAAATTACTTTGAAGAGTAACTTATCGTTCAGGTTATGTTAGTTTGTTAAGTCAATTCGATAGCACGAGGTATTACTTATAAGGAACAAGAAAACAAAAATTTTGTTTATTGCATTCTTGTATCTTGAATCGTGCCTAATACGTACTTCGCTCTTATTTTGCCCCTATTTTTAAAATTCATTTTTATTCACACATCTAATGAGATTCACAACTTTTATTAATTATACAAAATATTTTATCTTCTCGAGTTCTTTGCATGCAGTATCCTATCATAAACACATTCTTTCGAACTGTTAGACAAGATCAAGAACTGGCAATCAAAGAAGCACTACAAGTTCTGCAAATTCTTGAAGATCAAGCTTTAGGGAACAAAAAATTCTTCAATGGCGAAACCGTTGGATTAGTGGACTTATCATTCGGATGGCTTGCTTATTGGAATGAATGCATGGAGGAAACTGCAGGGGCCAAGATAATAGAATCAACCAATTTACCACGTTTGAATGAATGGATAAAGAATTTCAAGCAAATTCCAATTATTCAAGAAAATCTTCCGCGCCGTGACGAATTACTAGCATATTTGAAAACAAAACGAGAGAAGATAGTCTCACGACATACCCTTACATCAAATAATTTGATCAATAAGGGCAATATGTTTGTTACGTAGGGCTTGTTTGAGGCTTTGAGCCCCATTTCTTTCCTCAAAATATGCATTTTGCAATAGTGTATTGATGGATATGTGGTTAAAAAATAAGAAAAAAAAAATTTGAGTTTGCGTTTAATATTATTTTATTGAAAAATGTGCAGTTGAAATTGAGTCAAATCACTATTCAAGAATTTATTTTGATTGAAAAATGGGGCTCAAACAATGGCTTAATACTAAATCGTATTAGACCCCTATTTGGTGTAGCTAAAAACGAGATTTTATAAGTAGATTTTAATAAAAGTTGTAGGTCCTATAAAAATTTTAATTGAAAATGAGTTTGAAGAAAAAATAAATTTTGAGAATGAGGGCAAAAAAGGGACTAGAAATAGAATTTAACTTCTTTTGTTTTTTTAACATTGTTGTGTAATTAAGTCCCCGTTTAAAATCGATAATTAATTTTAATTATATATTTCATAAGATCTACAATTTATATCGATTTTCAATTACATATTTTATTAACTTTTGTCAAAATCTACTAAAAATCTGATTTTTAACTTAACGAAGCAAGGGTTAAATGTGTTAACCATATATCTTATGAATGTCATGAGCATAATTAGGGCAGGGCATTTTTTCCTGAAACTGGTGGAATCGGGCCATAACTGATTAGAAAGGGCCGGTTTTAGCCCTGTACATCTAAAGAACAATTCAATTTTGGGACATATCATTGAGAATCGACTGGTTCTGGTCCAGTTCTCTCTGCCTTTGTGAGTTAATTCGATTCTAATAAGTTTCTTTCTTTTATTTTCTTTTTCTTTTTCTTTTTTGGTAAAATATAAAACCTCGATATTTTATGATTCTTTTATACCATAATCATGTTCACTTTTCCCTTTTCACTCTTCCAACTCCCTTATTCTCTTCTATTAATCAATTTCTTTGATTCTTATTTCAATTATTTGATTCTTTCCTTCTCAATCCATGGATAATTGAAATCTGTACTTCAAATAATTTTAAAAATACTAAAGAAGAGTTCTTAAGTTTAATTTAGTTATGGTAGTTTGTTAATTTTGTTGCAATATGAGATTTAGACATTTAGTTGTTAACTTATTGTTCTGAATTTAAACTCCATGTTACATTGTTCACTTCGAAATTTGAATTTTGAAAGCAATTTTAGTGAGAATTTGCAACTTCAAAGTAGATTTAAATTGGAATTCTTGATTAATGACACGCTTGTTTAAGTGGAAATTACATGGAGCCCTACTTTTAGAGATCAAATTTCTAAAATCAGATTTTAAGGTTTAAGTTTCAAAAATCAGATATTTTATATATAGATCCAGATTTTTTTATATTTAATTAAATACTAATAATAATATTATGAAACTTAAAATATATACACCTAAATTAATATTCAACCCTAATTGGCTAGCTAATTCACGTCTCTCACTCATCTCTCTCCAGTCTCTCTCTCTCACTTTAACGGCGGCGTGGAAAGGGGCTTCTCTCTGCGCTACCACCATACCCACCGAAAGTACAGCCACCATACCCACAGAACGCTTTTCGCCCATTGGCCCACCGGCACCATACCCACCAACTTCACGTACCATCGCCCATCGGCGTCGATGGGTGACTCGGAGGAGCAGCCACAAATCGCACAGATGCAACTGGTAAGATATGGTTTCCGGCTTC